CACCTCTTCCGCCTCCCCCCCTCTTACCCTCCGCGGTCTCGGTCGCGCCCCCGGTCTCCGAAGCCTCTCATGGCCCCCGGGGGGGTGGGCGAGAGGCAGCGGAATGCTGGCCGTGGTGATGGTGAGGGGCTAGGGGTACGGGGAGAAGGGCCAGCCAGGGGCGGCTGTGTCTCGGCGGAGTCGCTTTGCGCCACCTCGCTTCTTGGAAGGGCTACAAAGGGAGAAGTTGTCAGTGGGTCAGAGACCCGCTGAGGGTCGGCGGACGGAACGGCGGGGTTCTCGGTCGGCTCCAGGGCCCGTGCCGTGTGGAGACACCAGCGTCTTCTTCCTCCGTGCTCCCGGCACAAAATGGCTGCCGCCTCCCCAACCCGCTTCACTTACGTTACGGGCGGCCCGACGCTACGCAAATTCCGGCCCTCGAAAAACACCCGCGCCTATTCTCGAAGGCCAACTACGTTCCAAACGCGCTTCTCGAAACACTGTTCTGCACAGGGGATAGGTTACGAAAGTTACGTAGTGGTGCGTGCTTGAACGGGGCCCTTGCGCGAGAAGGGGAGGGAGAAGAGTAACGTTCTCCGTATTCTTCAAAGTCTACTACGCAAGGAGCCGATCTCGCAACCCCTTCTGGACGGTAAGGGAAACGTGGGCCAAAGCCGTACGTTACGTAAGGGCACGCCGTACGCAAATTGCGTAACTCCGGGCTGGCACAGAAAGGAAGACCCCGCCCATTTTGCGTAACATTCTTCCGTAGGCTTCGCAGGAAGAGCTGGTGGATTACGCGAAGACCGCAGCGTAGTCGTGGTTGGAGAATACGGCCTCCTGCCTACGCGGCCGCTGTCCCCGTGGAAGGTGGCCGCGGGGCTGAGGAGACAACAACGGAAGCTCGGGCACCTCGGCCTCCGCGGCGGCCTCCCCGCGGGGGGCGGGTGTTTGGGGTCGGATCCTGCCTTTTACTTCCCTCGCAGATGTCCAGAGGGGATCCCGGCGCACTGTACAGCACTGAGCCTGCCACTGGAGTGGCAGCAGCCATGATGTTTGCTTCCTCCTTATTTCCAGGAGGCTGGAAGAGGAAAATGGTGTGATGTGTCCAGAAATGGCTACTATTTGGCCTCGGCGGCTCTGTAACCACAGGAGCTTCACAGCAGCTGCTCTGGAAAGTAAGCTGCTTACGAGTCCACGCTTTTGACTAGCCTCATTCCATGTGCTGATACACCCAATGTTTACCAGTTTCTGGATGTACTTTCAAAGTGTACTTTCAGCTTAATAAAGTTGATGTTGTACAGTCATCTGCTGTTTCTTCATCCTAAATGGCTAGATATGTGTGATTTTGTTGAGATACAAAGTCCCATAGAGGCATGCAGAAGAAACTAATGTGGCTTTGCTGCTGTCTTCAAAGAAACCAAAGGTCAAGGCATAAGATCATTCACTAAATGCTTGAGCACATATAAATACAAATTATAGCAGCAGATCTACTGTAGCATTGTGATTTTCCTGTCCGTATCATGTCATCTTTCCAGGTAGTGCTAGTGTCTGTCTGTAAACCCTTCCTGCTCTTGTGCCAAGTGGTTCCCTATTGCAGCAGGAGCTTCCCGAGCTGCCGCGTGCAAGGCCGGTCCTCCACGCCAAGGACAGCCTGGAGGGAACAGCACTGGTGCTGTGTGCATGACCTTTTACCTCCCAAAAAGCCACCAGAGATTCCCAAATAAACAATAAAACAACCGGAACCACTAGAAAGCTGCTAATTTTGCACTAAACAGGGCAAGGAAGAGTGGTGGCAGCAATGAAATGGCCTTTTGAAAGGAAGGGGGCTCGTCCTCATCTTCCTAGCACCTCCGGGTAAGCAGCCAGCCCGCCCGTCCTGCTACATGAGGTTTATCGGGGCCATGATCTATGTGTGCCAGCCACACCAATGTCTCCCCACGCCAAGCGCTCTCTGGGTTATCAGGCAATCAGAAATCAGTGGCAGAAAAGCAAGCAAGCGTCCTGGGCTTTCAGGCCCTCGGGGTTAACAAATAACTCCACCTGGAGCCAGATACAAATTTGTTTACCACTTTATTCTCCTTGCATTATGGTATGACACGTGAGAAGGCAAAAAGTGAACTTGGTGCCTTGTAGAAACTTTTGCCTGCTAAGTTGTTGGGAGTGAATCAGGTAACACTATAAGCTCCTGCTTACACTCTGTGATTAGAAATAACTGCCCAGTGTGGGAAAGACTGGTGTATGCAGAGAATTAGATGCTATGCTAAATGAAAGCCGCTCGTCTGTTACTGGTTCTGATCAACCGACCTCCCTACTACTGCCTTTGTCCCTCTAGACTTCATAGTGAAAAATGGTGCCTTACCTCAGAAAATTATCAAATATAAGGTATACTTATATCAAGCATAATGCTTATCCTGTTCCATTCAATTCTACTTCACAGATACTTTCAAAGAAACTGAGAAAAGTACATTAAGCTGATGGGAAAAGGATTTATTTTTCACAAAACATAGGGAAAGGATTTTTTTAACAATTCATAAGTTTATTTTTTAAATCTTTGTCAGCTCAAAGTTCAACTGAAAAACAAAGACCCTAAGAGGAACAAAATTCTATCAAAATCAATAAAACTGAACTGTACAGACCTCATTCCAATGCCCTCCAAAAATATCTCAAATGATCCCCAAAAGATAAAAATGAAGCCAGGAATTCAGCGATGTTGCACACGTCTCCATCCCAGCTGATTAGGTTGTTTGCAGCTGTACATTTGCATCAGTTTTCTGCCTATTCTTTGGCATCCCCAATCCCACCAGCAGTTATTGCAAATGTAGCTTCGTTTTCAGGCATCTCAGGACTGTGGAAGCAATAGAAACATGAAACTGCTTTTCTCCCATGTTAGATGCAGTTGTGGCATAGTTCCCCTGATGATACAAGTATAAGAAGCAACGTGGAATACTTGTGCACCTTATGGCTGTGTGTATAAAGTGATTAAGGTTATCAAGACCAGAAAATGTGAAATCTATCTTTTTGAAGATGAGAACTACAGTAAGGGGAAGGAGGAGATGCAGCAGAAGCAAAGATTCTGTCTATGAAAATCTTCACTTCCAGTTTTTAGTTCCTGACCAGGAACACTGGGTCTCTCTATAAAGACACTAATTCTATTAATATATTTGGTAATGACTTGTGTCTGCCACAGACTGCCAGGTAAACTACTACTCATCTTGCCAGCAAAATTCCATAATTAAATAGGTCTGGATCTTTTTCTGCCAAGGGACCACCAATTTTACCAAACTATTTAATGATCTTCTTTAGGAGATGAGCATGTAATAGGATTTGTGATGAAACATTATATAATTTAATAAACTTGATAGTAAACAGAACTTTAAATCTGTTAATTGGTTTCTCTTTTTACATTTTCTTTCAACGTATCATACAGAAACATAGTTAATTTGAAAGCATGAATCACTTGTCAAGTTATTAAGTTTCAGTACCACGAACTTCATCACTGTAACCTTGCTCATAACACAGCCTCCTACCTGTAAATAAAAGGTGATTTACCTGTCATATATCTTTGCAATACGCAGCTCCCCTCTCCCTTTCCTCAAACTAATCCTGGTAGTTGAGGCATGCGCAAGGATGTGGCCCCCAATGGGCTTCTTTGGGTCTGCCTGAAAGCTAAATTATCAAGAAAATACTGATGACTCACTGTGCAAATTCAAAACATTAATCACACTGTGATTAACTCTCAGCTAAGGTATATAGGGCTCCGTAATGAATAATAAATAGGTAAATTAATCAAAAGTGGACTTTTACACGCCTATCTGAAAATAGGATGTTCAAATTCTCAATGCCAGCATTTTATTTTGCTCTCATAAAGTTCAAGAGGCTGAAGAAATACAACCCTTAAACTTTGTTTATAAGTTGCTCCAAAAGAAAATATTTTTTTCTTACGTCATAGTTGCTCCTGGATCAGCAGTCATCTGATTAGTCACAAACACCGCCACGTTATATTCTGCAAAAGAAAATACTGTCAAGAAAGAAATATATATATATTAAATTATAATTCAAATAGATTGTCGCATGCATGGTAAAAGCAAGGTTGACAGTGAAGCACTTCAAACTCCCAATGAAAAAGAAGCAATTTTTTTTTTTTTTTGCCTTTGATGGCAGGAGTTAATCAAGGGAGGGCCTAGCTTTGCTCCTGTTTGACTTCCGCTGTAGACTTTGTCAACCTGTCCTCTCATTTGGGAGTTCTCTTAAAAGCATTCTTAAAATTTCAAGGAAGACTCTAAATATTGAATAATTTTCAGAAATCCTTAGTCTGTCACCTTGTTTTGCTTTTTCATCAGTTTCAACTTCTTTAAAAAAATTCTTTTTGGTAACCAATTGAAGTGTAAAATGCAGAAAGATTCCTAGGTTGTTACGCTGAGCTATCACTAACTGGTGTTTCAGTAACTCCTGCTCATGCTTTCCATATTTTGCAATATAGCCCCTACCTTCTGATATCTTCTGGAGCCTTGACAGCATCTGAGCAAGTTTCTGTTGCCGTT